AAAAATGCCCCAAGGCCCTGCTGTTTGTAGTGACTCCTGAACAATGGAGACGTGTGTACATGTGAAGCAGAACACACTGCTATTGTGTTTTTCTGCAACACAGTGTCTCATGCCCACTTGAAAGCTGCACTGCCTTGTGCCAAAGACATTACATATTTCCTCTCCTAGTGCCATGAAGGTTAAGACGTTTTGCTCTTGTATGTTTAAGAAAAGAAGGGATTCATTACATTTAAGAGCACACACGGCTAGAAAACTGTAAGCAACCTATATATTAGAGCGAGTATTAAACATATGACAGAGCCCTGACTGACACTGGCCCATTTGTATATGGAAAAGGTATGTGGTTTGACATTTGACAAACATCTCTATGATGAGTGATTTGATCGCTTCAGAGGTGGCCTATATTTGTATATGGTTAATATTCATAGTGATACTATCTTAAGCTTAATGAGCGATCAGACCACAAACATTTTCTTTCCAAAGCATCATTGCACCCTGCCACCAGCCACCAAGCATGAGCTCTAGTGTACTTAAGTACAATACTTGAGTACATGTACTTTCCACCTCTGGATATTATATTAGCAAATGCTCTGAGGCTCAGGCAAGCTGCTGGTTATCAATACAGACACACACACACACACACACCAGCAAAGGTGCTTGGTGAGCACAGTGGAGTAGACACACACTTCACCAGTTGGTTTTAAGTACACACACACCCCCACACATGCACACACGCTCGGGAGTAGCCAGGCAGCTGAGGCCCTCAGATATGCTGCTGACAGAGACTGTCAGCGCTGTTCTCTGGTTGCCTCTCTCTCTGCATGTTCAGTTTACTTTGGGATCAAGACAAAACCTTAACAAGGCTCCACTTGGCCAGAATTAGGGCAGATACAGAGACAAAGAGCAAAAAAGGATGAAGAGGAGGAGTTCAGAAGGAGGAGAGGGAAACATTTGCAAATCAGAAGAAGCTATGTAAATGGATTAGTCATTAAGGCCTTCGAAAAGAGAAGAGGCCAGATAGAGGCCAGAGGCACTGTAGGCAAGTAGGGAGCACAACCCCATAATGTGAATAGGCCTCTCTGTTCACTGCTCCCCTTTCTTTTTTTTGAGGTTCAGGTTTTGTTTTCAGAAGAATGCACTATATAAAAAGGCTAATATCAGCAGTAGATGCACACTTCCCATTCTATCTAAAGGAAAAGCTCAATGAGTCCATATTTCCTGCAGCACTGAGGCTTTTACTTGACTCATCCCTTCAGCATGGCTTCCCCCAGTGGACACTAATTGTTATTCACAGTGTGTTACTACATCAATGCCGCAAGAGGAGATGGAGAAGAGATGTTTTTAAATGATAGTGTCAGACAAGCACACATTTCACACCATTTGAACTGAAAGCAGCGTCGAAAAACAAGTTGACTGAAGTGAGGCACTTTCTCCACACATACAAATCAAACCGTCCAATGCGCTAACGCTAGCCTTTGTTGCCAAACTCACTGCAATATCTTCTATCAACTATCAACATCCAAACTGCAAATAAAATGCCAAAAAGTGACTTGTAATTATCATCAAGTACAGTTCCACTCAAATTAATGTCTGCCTTCTCTTCTATTGCCAATAAATATGTTTTAGCTGAGTCAGCCAAACTGAATGGTTAAAACAACCAAGAGTCAATAGCACATCAGAGAATGTGAACAACAGCTGCAGTAACTTTATATTTCCCTAAATAAAACCTGAGAACATTTCAAATTTTACTGTTTTTAGCACCACCTTTTATTATTTTTGTAACTTTATGAAACAGACTGACAGTCGTAAGCTGGAGAGTTTGTACAAAAATGTGCAGTTATTTACCTTTAAAGATTCACTAGGAGGCCCTGACTTTCAAACAAGTATAAATATTTTGCCTTTATACCTATATGTAATGTTTGTAAAGTATATAAACCCTTTCAAAGATCACAACTCAGCAGACAATACATAAAATAAGGAAGTGACAGATGTCAAACTGCCATATTAAAATCTTGAAAGTACTGTTAAATCACCACAGTGTTTGAGTATATACGTTTTGTGTGACTGCAAGCTGCAGTTCTGGGAGCTGTAGCTCCCATAGCTGCTGTCAGAGTAAGAGGTGCAACAGCATGAGACAGCTCTCAAAACCTGGTCTATAATTTAGACAGAGCAACACCTGAGCCCAGTCTGTCAGGGGGGCAGGGAGTAGCCTGTAGCTTCCAGGGGTTTCAAAGTGAACAGGCACTTGTGGTCTGGCAGACGCAGGCTTTTCGCACAGTACTGGTAGTGCTCAAGTCTTGGCCTTGAGTGTGGTCATCAGTCCACATTATGTACTGCAGTCATTCATCTTTTACTAGTATAGGAAAAGTTTGCAATTTCAAAAAATTGACCCAGTTGTATTATTATGTTTTACATTATTGGACTTCACTTTAAAGAAGCCGCCAGTAGATGTCACTGTTCCCCATTAGTTCAAGGTTCTTACAGGAATGGAGTCAAATGGATCTGTATCCATTCTTTGCATACAGACTGGAGCAAGTCTGCAGGAACCTCCTCATACTGCTCTTACTGCACAGCACCCACCCTGTTAACTGCTCCACTAAAGCCAAACCTCAACATGCAGTCTATGGTTTTATTTACCTGCTCCCACAGGTGAGGGGGAATGTGTGCAACCAGCGCCCCCTTGTGATGAAAACGATCAATGACAACATTTGGGTTTTGTCCTGATATGCAGTGTGAACTGTGGGACACACAGGTGTGCACCAGTCTAGTTATGTCTAATGAATTCTGTTTGATACAGGTGAACTCTAATCAAGTTGTAGACACATCTCAAGGATAATTAAAGCAAACAGGAAGCACTTTTTTTTGTTTTTTTAACTTGCAAAGATCTATAAAGATGTTTTCACTTTATCATTATACATTACTCAGAAATGGCAATTGAAACTCAATCCACAACGCATTAAAGTGTGCAAAAAGGGGTCTGAATGCTTGAATGAACAGAAGAGCTGCTACACAATAAACATGTTTGTGTTTTGCAAACTTCATTGTTAGCTGTAGTCAAATAGGCTGCACCAAAATCTTGTTTTGTAGTTTCATGTTGTTTCCACTTGGGCCTTAAACACATTTTATCAGACCATCAGTTTAGTCTTGAGCTGACAGTGAATCACCCACAGTTGTTTCTGCCTTGTGACCAGTGCCGTCTTCTCACATAGAACCAAGCTTTTAGATGTTAGCACAGGCTGTGTAAGTAGAGAGGGACTGGGTAATAGCCTGAAGCATTGGGGTGTGAGGACACATTGATCTAGCTCAGCGCAAAAAGCACTCTCAGACCAGTGCTAAAGAGCCTCGGGCTTATATTTATCAGGCTTCTGCGAGAGGGATCACTGAACCCGCATCAGTGGTTAGGTCATACCACCATTTAAACTACAAGAGTTAAACGGGCCACAAATCACTACTAGCTGACTTTTGGATAAATCATAAAAATATATGATACAGATACAAAAGGTGATTGCTCATCAAAGACATAAGAACCATTCAACATTTATGGTCCCATGCTGGTCCTGCTCTCCCATACTTGCACAATAATAATGCTGCCTGGCTCCAGCCGGGGAGTCCCTTTGCTTCCAGACTTAAACGAATATAAAAGACTTTAGTTTTCAGATGAAAAATGAGTGACTTTTATCTCAGCTAAAGAGAAAAGGGATTTTTGTATTGAAGAAGAGGCTAAAGATGACCCGTGAGTGTCCTTAATTATTGTTATAAGTTGTAGAAAATGGCTATGGATGGGAAGCCAAGTGCACATGCACATAAAGGCGTATATGTCAGAGTTGGAGTAAGGAGGCTTTTGTGCTGGGCTTCTCATGAGGCCTCTACAGTAGCTTCAGACACATTTGGCTCCCTCTAGTGGATTTAACGCAGAACTTGCACTTCTAAGGCTGCTTTTTTTTTTTACTCACGTAAACGTATAATCAATATGGCCGCCTTTCCTGGTTATTATATGCCCCTTGGAGATACAGTATATTGATAACATTTGTTTCTATAAAGCTGAAGCATGTCTCCGTTATACTGCAGGAACATTATCTTACACATTAGCAACTTTAGTTTGGCTGACTGATAAATAACATGTAATTATTGCACTTACCCCCTCCTCGGTTGCTCTTGCCTCCATTAGTGAGGGTACAATCGTGCTCTGCAGCTTGTCTCTCTCACAGCACCTCTCCTAATGGGGACCTTTCAGGATTCCTCACTTGTTTTTCATAACAACTTGGATAAAGACAGACGCAAACTATGTTCTAACATGCTTCATATGTAACGTAGATGAGGCCAGAATAGGCAGGACGTCACACACACAAATATAATCTAGACATAGGAGTAGATTTTACTGGTACCCCAGAACCACAAAATGGGAAAAGAAATCTATGAAATCTTCAAACTCGCTTCCACCTTAACCCCGAACATAGCAGCTTGAAATGTAAACACCAATATAACAAACTTACACGTGACTATTATAAAGGTATTCCTCCGCCACAGCTCAGCAAGGAACTACTATCCTGAGAGCAGGAAAAGTTAACAGTGTTCTCACGTACACACAGAGATTGTTTTAAGGCCAACTTGATAAAACAAAAATACCAAACCTATCCTATAACAGCACTAGGCGGCTCGGATAAATCCTGTGTAACTCTGCGTAGTACTCAAAGGTTAGCGACCAGCTAAAAGAAGAGAAGCGCAGTGATCCATGGTGAAATAAAGACAACCTATAAGTGCCTGCACAAACCAAGAAATATATTGTTAGTGTGTGGCAAACCACATACAAGCACAACGTTCCAAAATATGTATAGTAAATACAATTAATATCAAGTGGAATTGTACAAAATGTGATGTATCACTTTGTCTAGAATAATAAATGTTTTCCCCACAAACTGAGCCGGTTTCAACATTTGATCCTTTCATGTAAACAGTTTCTAAGGTACATTGTGCATAAATGACAACATAAAGCCAATTTGTATGATTATAAATGTCAGTTCAACATAATGGCAGGCTTTTGAACTTTATTGGCATTTTTGCAAGACAGTCAATTAACTTCCAGTTACAATAAATGCATAACAACTGTTTCAGAAGATGTTACAAGAATGACAATGGACCAAAACATTTGGCTGTCATCTCGGACCCCCCCATCCCCAATTATTTACAAACAAAGAAATATATTTGTATTAGATTAATCCCAATAACATCCCACTCATTCAGGTGAATAAATCATGCACCAGAGGTTAAATTCATGTATGAAAGACCTTGATATTGCTGAAAGACGTTTTAGTGGGATTTGACAAGAGTCCAAAACAGCAGAAAAAAAAATTGGCAATACTTAAGCCATCACATCTTAGGCTCAAAGCGAAGAAACAAGACACCTAAAAACAATATGATCATTCTGGAAAAGAAAAAAACAAAAAGTGCAAAATGCAAATTTGGGACTAATAAGACTTCCAGTTGAAATGGATGGCTAAGACAAGTAACTGTTCTTGGTTTTTCTACTCCTAAGACTCAAGATTCACAAATCATATGTACAGAAGCTCTTCAAAGTGCAAATAACAATTGGCATAAGCTGGAATATACACATTTCTTCTTCTGGATGACAATAATAAACAAAACCATGTTTGTTTTTCTTTGTCCAGTCAGGCTCCATTTTCATGACGCACAAGCTCATTCATCCTGCACATTTCCTGTCAGATTTGCTAGAAACAGCAACGTCTGCTGATTAGTTCTCAGTTTATCACATAACAAATGTGCTCTCACTGCTTTCCCGACAGGAGCCATGTTACATCAAAGGAAGAAGTTCTAACCTAACATTTTTCATAAAAGCCAAACGCCCAGAGGGATCCATGTGTTTGTTTTCTCTAAATCATGCACAACCTGTCACATTTTTATTTCATTTCCCTCTGATTTACTGGTGATTAAATCATTTTCTTGGCAAGTGTGCATAGTACCCACACACACACCTAACTTACTGCTTTATCAAAAAATTAGCAACCACCTAACACTGCACCAAACATGTCACGACTGGATCTCAAGCTCTGGTAACTAAGCTATTCAGCTACATCACAGGACTTCACATCCACAATTAGATTATTGAAAGTCATTACAAATAATTACATTGCATAGGCCTTTTACTCAAGCCTGGCACGTTAAATGTTACTGCACTGTGCTGTATGTAAAATGCTTATTCCGCTTCCACAGCACCAAAACAGGAGGCGCATTCGAGGCCGATTTCCCCACATAGTCCTATTGCCACTGATCCAACTGGACCAGCCTGCATGGCCTAAAAAACACTAATTCATCCAAGGAGCTTTTGCTGATTAGCTCTGCTCCTCAGCAGCTTACAGATACTGTACTGTTTTGCCAAACTTATGTGGTAGTCAGGCAGTGTGGAGTCAGGAACAAACAGGTAGGTGTGTGTGATGTCTCAGAGGTGACTAAGGACAGTGGTTATGATGAAATGACTAAAAAAGGTGGCAAATGTGTGAAATTTTCCAAGAACTTATAGAAACGTTCTTTTCATTTTTCTTTGATTCATGCAGACAATGCCATCCAGTGCCAAGGTTAATGTAGCCCTTCCTTTTCTAAACACGTCACGATGGATAGAAATAACTACTGCATAGTTCAGTTCAGCGTGAACCTTTGTACTTTTAGTAAAATTACATGCATTTTACCAGATTTTACTGACAGACCATTTTCATTATCTAAATTACTTTGAGAAAAGCTTGTGGTCTGTTGTTTCAGTTATTCAATGGCTCAGAGATTATAGAAAAATGTGGACTTTATTTAACTGATCGTTTGTCTAAAAAAATAACATTTTGAATGCATTTTAACAAAATGCAAGTGGTTTTCCACCCTGTGGGATATTCTGAGCTGCATTTGGCCACGGTGAAGCAAAAGCTCAACAGGAATGAAGCATGAGTGAGCTTGTATGTTTGGCTTAAAAACAGTGAAAGCACCAGGGTGTGTGATATGTAAACTGATAAATCTTCCATCTTGCCTTCTGGTTTCTATTTTCCATGGGGTACAAAGAGGTTAGTAGGATGCACACTATAAAACTGCCGGCTGATTTAATTTGGTCATGCCACATGTCTGTGAAGTAAGACTTCAAACACTCTGAACTTAAAAAATGTGCAAACTGTATGAAACTGCTGATGTGCAGAAGTCATTTCTGCTAAAGGAGAAATTCTTAACTTGATCTTTGGAAACAAATGAGGAAAAAATTTGGAGGGAAAAACTGAATATCAAAGGCTCAGAATAGGTTTCCACGCCCTACAAGTTTCTATTTTAAGTGTCACTTTATAGACACCAAGCTGCTGTCACTAGAAGTTCACACAGAGAAAGCAATATCATCAAATGAGCCGACTTAGTTCCTTATAAATGTTGCAGCTACCTAAAGTACCTGTATGCGTTTCTGGTATTTAAGACAGTTTCAGTCAAATTATGTCTCATTGTGCTTTCATTCAGCGTCTGAGTGAATGGAAATCTTCTGTCTTTATACCAAGTGTGTACTGAGATCAACAACGCTCCTACTCTGACGCAGGCCTAGCGTTCCGCACAGCTGTTGATAACAGCTTTTGAATCAAAGCGAAATGAAAAACAATGACCACCAAAGAAGAAATTTTACAGCTGAGTTGAGAAGCAGTGATTTCAGAGTGAGATGTGTTATGTTTTTAATGAGACCGGTAACGCTTTCTCCCTACTTCTTCGATTCACTCATTCCTCGTCTCTCTCTTCACTGCAAGACGCCTTGTCAAGTCATCCAAGGGGGAGGGAAGGAACATCACATTGGAAAGAAATAGTGATGGTGTGGGAGTCTGTGGGGGAATCAACTGATTAGTGCGAAGCAGCAATACAGTGGCATTTCTCTTCATAATTTAACAACAGATATTACCTTTAGTAGAGGAAGAAGAGGCGTGTTCTGTGAGAGGCGGCCATGTTCTCTGACATGTTGCGGACTTTTAGGTAGTTAACAAAGCCCCTGAAGAACAGCAGGAGACCTGCAGAGAGAAGAAAGAGGCGTGTTCTGTGAGAGGCGGCCATGTTCTCTGACATGTTGCGGACTTTTAGGTAGTTAACAAAGCCCCTGAAGAACAGCAGGAGACCTGCAGAGAGAAGAATAATTATTTGCTAAACTGAGTGAAGATAAAAAAAAAATAATAATAAAATAAAAAAAAAACATTGCATTGTACTCACCAAGCAACAGGAAGATCCACCAGAGCCAGTACTGACCATTAAAGTAGCCAGTGAAGTAGTCGGAGAACTGAGCACAGAAAAAGACCTCTATCAGCATTCTGATTTAGGATTACACCTGAGAAAAATTATTTTCAAGCTGCATCTATACATATGATGACCATACATAGATGACTGTGATGATTACATGTATACAGTGGAAACAGTGGATTATTTCTGTGTCTTAAAACAGGTTTAGAGGGGATCTTTAACAATGTGAATCCATAAATGTCTGGTATTCGATCCCCACACTTTCAAATGTAATTTCCATATCTATATTCACACCAATTCCAAATTAACTCAACCAAATATTTAGCCCATTTGCTGGTGAGAATTCGGTGAGGTCCAAACCTACAAATTACATACCCGGACGATGAGAATCCACTTGATGAGGGACAGGCCGAAGCCGCAGATGGCTCCGTAGCGTCCTGCAATGGTGTTGGTCAAACAGAAGGACAGGCAGAACCCGATCCAGTTGAAGAGGAAGGCCACTAGAGCACAAGCATAAAGAGATTTGGTCATTTGGTTTTGTAACATTAACAACAAAAAGAAAAGGAAAATAGCTCTGACAAATCTGATTTGTTTATGTATTTAATGGAGACATTTCTACAATATTTTATTTTGAAAATGTCTGAAGAAAACTTCAAAATCACACAGGGACATGTATGGTGAAAGTGAATGCTTTTCAGAGAAGGAGTCTGATAAGGTAAAGCAAACTTTCCATGACCATCCAAACGTACTTCAGTACATCGAGCTGACCATCAGTCATGGCCTGTGGTCATGACTTTAGCTCCATTATCAAGGTCTGACATGTGAGGAAACAGCGATTTTCATTGTTGAGGAGTGAGTCTTTGAAAAACAACACTGGATCCAGCCCTCGTGTCTTGACGTTTGTTAACAGGGTTAACATAAGAGAGACTTACTGAAAAAGGCTAACATGAAGATTCCATCGTTTCCAACTCGCAGCTGATCAGCGTCACTGAAATCATCTCTGGGGGGGAAATCATCATCCTAACATGGATACACACATAAACCACAAGCTGGTATATCATAAAAAGGTGGTTATAAAAACAACAGACACACCTACTACACACAGTCAACAGTTCAGTGGCAAAATGCGTGAGCTCCCTCACCCTGAGAGCTATTTTACTTCCGAGTGTTGCCACTTGGCTTCGTGATAAAGGCTCAGACAAGTCTAAACATTATTCACGGATACTGACACAGCATGCTGCATACAACAGCTGCTGTCCAGGAGCTCAAAGTTCAGGAAGCCACCCAACATTTACATCTAGTTTAGTATGTGGGAGGGGAGGCATTTGGTATGAGAAACACAAAATCTGGTAGAACAAAACACCACTGACAAAAGCCTTCAGCACATTTATACTAACAGACTGTTAAATAGGTCAAAATTACAAGCCCTACATGAACCAAAGGTCCTGGTGTATCATTTGTTTTGCTCTTATATGTTAGAAGGGCAGGGTGACATGTAAACATTGTTTTTTGTAGCATGTTTTGAGAAACATCCCACTAAGTGGCATGTTGGTTCAAGAATACTAACAGCAAGTGACACAGGTCTGAGTCTGAAATGCTTAAAGACCATGACAGAACAAGCCCAATAAAACAACAACAAAAGGAGAAGAAAATTTCCATGAACGTGTCTGCTCACCCGTGGCACCACCTCCACAGCAGAGGTGGCCATGGCGGCTGCTTTGGCCTTCTCTGCTTCATCATATGTGGGCAGTGAGGTGGCGACACTGTAGGGCGGAGGCACTGGGAAGTCACCTGGGAAACTAGTTTCTGTGGGAACAACAGAAACAAAAAAAGGCTCACTTATAAAGGAAAGAGAAGGAGCTATGTGCTCAGGCTGCCAAAACTGTGGTAATGCTGTCATGGAAGTGACTCAGGAGTGAAAACACTAGCCGCCCCAAAACTGCAAAGACATGCAATCCTGTTACTATTTTAGGAACCACACTTTGGAAAAATAAAGTTGCAGCTAAGAAGATGTCCATTTAATTATTAGACACAATGTACCCGGTGCAGCTGCAGTTGCTCCAAGGTCAATGGAGGCGTAAGGAGGTGGAGGTGCCTCTGCCTCTCCCTGAGTCCTTGATCCTAATACCTCCCCTGGTGTTGGGACAGACACCATGCTGGCCTGGGCCTGGGCCTGGTCCTGGTCCTGGCGTGGTGCACCAGCCTGGGCTGTGGCAGAGGTGCACGGCTGCTGCTCGCTGGTGGAGGCCTCTGAAGAGTCATCCTCATTGTGCAGCTACAAGAGAAGACGAGACAGGGGGAATTGACACAAACAGGTCAGCCAAAAAGGGGAATGCTCACACTGGAGCAAATGTCTACAACTACCACCATCACCACAACTTTGCTTTCTTCTGACCAGAACAGGCAACTTTCTGAAGTTCAGAAAAGTATCACTGTGTAAACACCATTAAAATATATACTGTGTTTTGTGAGCTCACATATGAGCCTCTATGACAGTAGCAGCCACTGCACTAAAATAACAACCAGAAACCAGTAGTAAAGCTGGAATTGATTAGCTAGAACGTTGGTGATTTTAAAGAGGGATTTACTATGTCATAGGTTTATCTAGGATTTTGCCCAAGCATGATGCAAATATGAGCAATAAACTTCTATCTTTAACAATATCTTAAAAAATATTAGCCATTTATTAATGCAGAGCCAATATTTCACAACTACTGCCAGCTATTCTGGAGTATAAACCGAAGTAAAATAACTGGGGGTGCATGTCTGTTGTGCAGAGTAAGTGCACTAACATTTGCCCTCAGCAGAATGTTTGACATTGTACACACTGACACAAGCGACTGCATCAGTATGTCAACAGTGAAACATTATACACTCGTTAATGAGAGTCCCCTATGGGTGAGACAGCCATTTACAGACTTAAATTCATTAATTTTCATCAGACCAAAGGGCCTAACACATTCTGAAATTCCAAAAGGGCCATAGAAACACAATGGTTAGAGGTGGGAAATCTATTTGGGCAAGTGAGGGAGCACTTCCTTCTCACCTCCTGTGTGACTCTGCCTTGATAAAATTAACTTGAATTTCAGAAAATCAGCAACTCACATAAGGTTGTGGTGTAACGTTTTATCCAGTGGCATCTGCTACCTTAAATAAACTGATGATCCACTGATGCCGTCTCTAAACTGTGTTTGTGCAGGTTCATGATCAGCATCAAAATCATGTGTTTAAAAGGGAATTTCACCAATTCAAATATTTTCCATGAAGTAATGGCAATTTTCTTGTTGTGGTATAAAACCAGTACAGGCCGGGGAAACACCCTGTGTAATAATATCATATGGAGACGATAACTAAAAACTCACAGATAACTAATACCAGGATAGTTCAGTGAAATACCAGATATGACTTTAAAAACTCATGATTAATTGGAAACTTCACTGTTACCTTGAAGTTAGACATCACAAAAAAATCCTGAGAATTCTAGCACCATGTAAACTTCCACCAGCGTAAGGTCAACGTACAAGGCAGTGAGTGAGTGGCTGACAACTGGCTCGAAATCAAGGACAAAGCATATCGCACCCCCGCGCACAGGGATTACATAAGATCTCAGTATCATAACCACAAGCCTCCTTGTGTCCAGATATACCCGAAACTCATGCAGACCTGCTTAGAGCAGAAGTGTTTCATACTCTCAGTATCATTTAGAGAAGAAACAGGGTTAAATGTGTGGCCATAATAAGATGAAGATGGGGCTGTCAACAAAGCTCAGCATCTGATCACTTTTATTACTTAATGTGTTGAACTATACATTCTCCAAACCTTGAGAACTTACAGTCCAGAAGACGAGTAACATGGATTGTATTCATCTTATTTATCGAAAGCTGGATTGTTGTTGAAACCTCGGCTTTGTTCAAGGTTGAAAAGCTAGACTACCGCACTGATTTGCTTTGGCTCCTTCTGAGTCTTGTGGGATTATCACACACATACCCAGAACCACAGGCATCTGAGCACAAAGCAGACATTTACATCAAAGTGGTCACAACTGCTTCAAATATTTCTCAGCCACTGTAGTTTCATTACATGCCTAGTGCATTTAGAATTGAAATTACCTTCTCGTGTTTAATCTAGTTGACCCAAATATTCAACTTTATGGAGAGGCCCATTTTGTAATTTTATAACATCTATTTTACTGCTAAAGAAAAGTTACTAAATCAGTTATGTGTAAATTAATTATCTGTGCTTTTCCCATCACGGGACTCTATTACTATTTCTTTGGACTTGAATACCTACTGTAACTGCGGTGTTTGCTAATCCTGGCAGCTAAAATGTTCCAATTCGTCGCATTAACCAGCTAATAAATTCCCCTGCTAAAACAAGCTAACCGTTATGCTTTATTAACACATTAACACTCGTGTTAGCCTGTCGGTAGCCGTATAACCTAACATAAGGTTTATAATTAGCATATAAATAAACCTAAGATAAGGCCTATTACATGTATAACACAGTTTATTAGGATGTTAACTTTCAAGGCCTGCAAGACTAATCTCGGCTGCTAGCATTAGCCTAGCCGATGCGGAAGTGCTTGACGAAAGGGTGGCTGTCAAATCAATTCGTGGAAAAAATAAAACCAAGATTACAAGAAAAGTAACCATTGGGAAATCTGTTTTGTTTCTGCGCCTACGTAACACAGCGTCTTCTTTGAATAGTAAAAGAGTAATATTTTAACAGTCTTACTTTTAGCAAGGCCTTGTTTCCTGTGACAAGCAGGCCGAACTATCTAACGGTGTTTTGATCTCATCTGTTCACACACTCACCACTTGATATCGGCTTGCTGGGTCCATCCCGACGAGATTTCAGCTGGCAAGCACGCCAGCTGACACAAAAGACAAGAGGAAAACCGAACTTCCGATTACTCCGAATTTAAAAATCTGGACAAACGACACCTCTCTCAGACAACACCGAATAAAATGAGACAAGCAGATGAAAGAAATGGCTGCAACCTGCAATGCACTCGCTTAGAAAAATAGCTTTCTGGGTAGAACGGTGGCCAACAATCAAGTATTACAACAAAATGTAACAGGCTACTTCCGATCCTGTATTTCAAAATAAAAAGTCAAACTAATGTATCATGATTTTATTTTGAACATGATAATGGATATGCATATA